GGGTAGACGACTAATTTTTATTTTAATGTCCGTCTGGTAGATTATTTAAAAACATTAGACACGTATTTTTTATTTTCTTACGGAAACGAATAGTTTCGAAGATATATTGATTTGAAATGTCGCGTGACGTCACTTCTCAGTACATTTTATACTAAGAAATGACGTTTTAGCCCCCACTCCTAAACTTTGATTCGTTTTATCTAAGTATTGTTTTATTATACAACAAAATAAAAAAATACGTGTCTAAAATTTTTTTATTACCTAAGTTACGGACTAATTATATTTTTAATTTTCATACCCTGTCATTATCCCCATTATTCTCGACACGAGAACTGGATTTAGGGTCGTCAAACTGATGTACTTATATTAGAAACGTACCTGCGCAGCGAGCGCACCGACGGCGGTCCCAGGTTCGATGACACTGCGCTGGTACTTGTGGTGGCAGACGCGCAGGAACTGAACGAGTTGCGTCAGCGTCAGGCGCTCCAACTGCTTCACCAGCGGACCGCAGCCGGCGTAGCGCGCGCGGAGGTTGCGGACCTTCGCTGCTATGGACTTCAAGAATGTTCTGCAATAATATATCACCTCTAATGTTATTTTCGTCGTCACTGTCATTACCATCTCTTACACGGTCGTCAGGGTAGATGCCTAATTTTTATTTTAATATCCGTTGGGTAGATTATTTTAAATCATTAGACACGTATTTTTTATTTTCTTACAGAAACGAATACTTTCGACGGTATATTGATTTGAAATGTGTGACGTCACTTCTATGTACAATTTATACGTAGAAATGACGTTTTAGCCCCCGCTCCTAAACTTTGATTCGTTTTATCTAAGTATTGTTTTATTATACAACAAAATAAAAAAAATACGTGGCTAATATTTTTCCATTACCTAACTGACGGACTAATTAGATTTTCAATTTTCATACACTGTCATGATCCCAATTTATCATCGTCACCCAGCACTACCCTCATTATTATCCATCATCATCACTTTCATCATCAGCTCCTACTACTATCATCACCATGACCCGCCACTATCATCATCAATATCATCATCATAATAATCACCACTAGTATTTGTTATGACTATGGATACTACAATGATCATAACACGAGTGGTGATTATTAGAAGAACATACGACTACCTGCATAATATATGCAGGTAGTCGTATATTCTGCAATACCGTCATCTCTAGTGACAACTGTCATATATTCCGTAGATAGTAAATAGAGCGCGGGTACTTCTGTACGGTCAGTCGACAACCGACGGCCACGCAGCGCGGTAGTGCGCACCAATCCATCACTAATACCTATATGGTATGGTACATATTACACAACTAACGACCAAATACTGAAAGGCTACCTAACTATACTTAACGTGACTTAAAATTGAGTCCCGCTTGAGTATTTGGATATTAGTATCGTAGTCTTGACATGCTACCGGAGGGCATCGCAACCTCAATACGATCATCATCCACCACATTCATCATTGCCCACCAGCATCGTCCTCATTACCCACCAGCATTATCATCACCACGCCACCATGTCATCATCAATCATCATCATCAACAGCCTATAAATACCCACTGCTGAGCAAACCCTCTTCTCACACGAAGAAGGTTTTGAGATTTAATCACCACGCTAGCTCAATGCGGGTTTGCGATTACAAACTTATAATTAGAAATTATAAGCACAGGTTTCCTCACGATGTTTTCCTTCACCGTTTGTCAGTGGTAGATAATCTTAGAAAATACTTATAACTCGGGAAAAGTCACATTGGTACTTGCCATTGGTTGGTTTCGAACCCGCACTCTCATGCATGAGAAGCGGGCGTCTTAAACCTCCGGGCCACCATGACACCAAGTGAAACAAGTGAATTTATACTTGCAAATAGACTACAAAGCAGCAGTTTTTCACGTCAATTTAAAAAAAAACTATACGAGGTCGATGACACTATATTCACCGCCATCAATAAACAATAATAATGAATAACTCACAGCAATTCGTTTTTGAACTCCTGTGTGCATGTTTTGAAGTCATCCAGCGCTAGTGTCTCCGCCGCGGCCAGCTCGATGCCGTCGCCGTCCAGGGGATCCTCGTCCCTGGATACAGAACCAACATATACATTAAATACTTTAAATAATTCATTGGTGATTTTATGACGACTCGTCATGATGAACGGTAACACGGAAATGTACTTCATGAAAAAGAAAAACCACGTGTGTTAAAATTGTATGTATGGAAACGCACCCATGACACACGAGAATAAAGGAAGGCAGACATTTTATGATTTTTCATGAATTTCTGCCTTCGTTTTGAAAAAACACCTGTCTGTTTTTAAACTTAAAAGAGAAAGCATTTTGGACAAAAATTAAAGTAAGAAAATATACAACGCGCGAACTTAATTATTCCCAGCACGAATTCATTACATTTCATCACTTCATTAACTGTGTTTAATTTCATTAACGATAGTGTTCTATCAATTTTGTACAAGACAGCGAATTAACACGAAATAGTTATTAGCGTCATTTAGCATATTTTACTGTAGTGGAAAAGTTTAAACAATTAGCTTTAATTTGAGGAACCTACCTAGACAGATACTTGGCGCGTACATCAGCGAGTACCCTGGCGAGGTCCACGGGTCGATCCTTCCCCTCCATGTAGCTGGGGTCCAGGCCGTCGCTGCCGTACCGGAACTCCACCACCTCGCCCATCGCGTTGCGGACCGTCATGTCATAGTGCAAGACCAGGTCTTCTAATGACTGAGGAACACACCATCAGACTTAATAATACCATCCAATGACTATGACACTCAAACTCTCTCTTCTTCCTACCTGTCACTCTAGCTTATTAAACTGTCAAACACCAAGCGGTCACCGGTGACCGCAACCTATTGTTATATAATTGTGTCTACAAAACCGGTACTCGACGATTTAAATAGGCTTGATGCAAAAATGTATATTCAAATCGGATTGGACTAGCCAGAGATCTCTACACAAACAATATTCCATTCGTTCCCAGCTTGGAAATAATTTCGCGAATGATAAATTATAATTTGTTTTCTCTGTAGTTTTGGTTCTACGTTGCCAGCTAAATCTCCAAACCCTCAATGGTTATATAGCAAGAGGTTTTTGTCAACAGATGCTGTGAGCTGTCCAATATAGAACGTCCAATGGCATAACGCTAGCTAATTCTCTACTAGCCGACTGTCTCTAGTGGCAAGCCAGCGCCACCTGGTGAGCAAATATACAGTAGCCACATACCTTGACCAGTCGTCGCTGCAGGTACCCAGTCTCGGCAGTTTTGACAGCAGTGTCGACGAGACCCTCGCGCCCCCCCATCGTGTGGAAGAAGAACTCCGTCGGAGTCAGGCCCGAGTAGAAACTGTTCTCTACGAACCCACGCGCCGCTGGAATCTTGGCTAAAAGGGGATGGAAAGAAATTTTATTTAAGCAATTCGGATAAAATATTAACAATAAATATAAATTACTAAGACTAAACACGCTTAACAATGATAAACATTATGCTAGACCACCCAGAAAAACAATTATTATATTTATACTAATTTTTGCCCAAGACAGAGGGGTTCAAATCCCCTAAAGCCGGCCATGCAATTGTAACTCCACTTGTGTTGCAAGTATGTGTCACCAGGTGATGTATAAAACAAAATATAAGATACTCACAATGCCTCTCAAAATGTGGTAGCGACCTGTCTTCGAATCCGTTGGGCACTCGCTTCCCGTTCAGCGCCTGCTGACCCACGCACGCGATCATCTGCGATATGTTGATGTTCGAACCTGAAGGTGCAAGTTAATATTACATACGTATTGTAAAAACATAACATAACATCACGCCTTTTTATCCTCGAAGGGGTAGGCAGAGGTGCACATTATGCCACTGTACATTGTAACATCCACTTTCCACTATTTATGGCTCCCATGTAATAGGGGGTGAGCCTATTGCCATATACCGGGCACAATTGTAAACCCTGTGCTACTACTGATTTGTTTTTTTAAAACACAGTAATACTTTGCCCGACCCGGGAATCGAACCCGACCACACTTACACTTACGACCACTCGGCCAACGAGGCAGACACATATATACCTACAAGTATATTAAAACAGAATGACAAACCTTTGGAGCCGCTCTGTGCCATGACAAGTGGCGCGTTACTGGGGTGTAGCTCGCGGAAACACGCCTTCGCTGCTAACTCTCTGTGGTGGGACATGATAACTTTAAATAAAATAAGGAATAATACGAAATGTTAGACGCTAATCTTTTAACCGACTTCAAATAAAATGAGGTTTGCTGTTTGACCTGTACGTGTGTACGTATGTCTCTGCGCGATTTTCTCGGAATGGCTGAACCGATTTTGACGCGGTCTTCAGAAAAGTTTTTTTTTGCACTTAGGAGAAGGTAGCGTATTAATTAGCCGACTTCAAAAAGAGCGAGTTGAAGTCGGGTTTTTGAAATGTAATTTATAAAACAATTATTATGTAATAGTGTTTTCTAACACAAAATTCTAATTTTAGTAATAATACAAATACAAAAGTTTCAGATGATGTACGTATGTGTTACTTTTCCACGCAAAATCGACTGACTTTAGACGAGATGTAAATAAAATTTGGTACAAAAAATACTACTCTGAGATAACCATAGTGTACTTATTATTAGGGTAACTGTCAACGACTCTGCAGTCAGAAACTAGTTATGGAACATAATTATTATCGTCTTTAACTGATCAAATTACTACCATACCGGATTTATGATCATTGGACCATAAGGAAATTGATAATTTTTTTTCTTTCATATTTTTTCAAAAATCTGCCCCACTCTAGGATTGTCTCCTGTGTCGTGAGTGCGTTTACAAACATACAAGTTCACATACACATGACACACAGACTCAAAACAAAAATCTGTGGGTCACACACAAAGTTGTTCCGTTCGGGAATCGAACCCGCGACCCGTTGCGCGGCAGCCAGTTCCCCAGCCACCGCGCAGTCAAAACGGTAAAATGTCACACTGACCTGATGCTGCTGAGCTCGCTGAGCATGACAGCCTCGAGGGTCTCCTCCATGGTGCAGCCCGGCTGACACTGCAGCGTGCCCTTCTCCATCTCCAGGATGTAACCATCGCACTTTGAGTACCTGCACAAATAATCAATATTTAAAAATGCAATGCGATATGTTTGCCCGCAAAGAAGTCCTTTACAATCGCCATCGTTATCTTAATTCATTCATTATTTTAATTATGTAATGGAAGCAGCGATTGGCTCAATAGGCTGCAACCACTATTCAGATAAAAAAAGGTAAGCAATTAGGTACTTGCCTGAATCAAAAATAAATCATTTCGACTGTTCAATACAATAAAATATTAAAAATAATCACACTTTCATTAATTGATTTTATGACCAACTTAATTTTAGTATTTTTCCAACATTTTTTTAAGAAATAAGTACGCTGTTTTGCTCTAAAAAAACGTGACGTCACAATACACAATCTCGTACAAAATTCATAGAAAAGTGTCATTTTTGACAGTTGAAAAAAGTATTGAATTTGACTAGTTGGCAAGTACACAATTTATGCACAGAGGCCTTATTACGAGTTTCTTTTTTGTTTAAAGTAATCGAAACGAGACGGCGTTCTGTGCTCTGATTGGTTGGTTCGTTAGAGCCGGCCAATCGCAGCGCCGAACGCGTACTCGTTACGAATACTTTAAACGAAAAAGAAAGTCGTACTAAGGCCTCTGGTATACATCAAGCCATGCGAAACTGGTATAAACTGACCGTTGACTGTACGGAAAGATCGTACAAAGGGAGGCCTTGATAAACTAGTTTACATGTATACTATTTTCACTTACCCAGCCTCAAGCAATTTGTTCTTGGCATCAATGAGTCTCCGCCCCGGCGTGACGTCGACGATGCCAAAACTGAAGCCTCTATTCATTATATAGAAGGACGCCATACGCGCTAACCTACAAACAGATATTGTTTTACATAACATAGACATAACATTACTCCTTTTATCCCCGACATGTGAAAAAAGAAATGGCATTACCTCCACATCCCCCTGACAGCATACTCCTCCCCCCAGTCCCGCAGCATGATGTAGAAGATACTGTTCTTGGTGCCGGAGCCCAGGGTGCTCTTGTCCATGGACCCGCACAGCAACTCTGAGTTCCTTATTATCACGTCTATGGAGGAACCACAAGTTATTAAAAGTTCCTAAAGAAATGTTAATGGACCCAGGCATCGAACTCAAAACCTCGCGATTACGATAATTTATAGACTTAGTTTGTAAATATGTGATTTACATAGAAATACGAATTAGCAATCAGATGTAATTTGACATTAACATAGATTCAGGATATAAACAAATTCATAAATAAGACAAAGAGAGAAGAACGGAGAAGAGAGAACGAAGAGGGAGAGATAGATAATTGTTTAAAGTGAAAAGATAAATCTTCTCTCATTAACTCTATTACCTACTTATAAGATTAGCGTCATATAGAGCATACGCTGAGTAGACTATAGTACTCACACGAGTCCTGCACACACATGTCCTTGTTCCCGGTGTAGTTCTTGCCCTTCGTCTCCAAGTTAGCCTTCACCTCGCACTTCTTGTTGGGTTTCATTATCAGACTGAAAATATAAAGTAAATTTTAAATATAGAGTACACTATTGGTGCAATGGGCGAGCCTCGTGCTTGTCACAATCACTAGTATTTTTAACCAACTTCCCAAAAAGGAGGAGGTTATGAATTCGGTTGTATGATTTTTCTTGTGTGTATGTTACGCGATTACTCCGGCGTGTGTGGATGGATTTTGATAATTCTTGTTCTGTTGGAAGGGTCATACTCCCGGGGTGGTCCCATTTCCATCACGTTAGGATCTAATTATGGGATCCCATGGAAACCGAGGGGAACTTACCAAAATAGTAGAGGCGGCGTATTTGTTTATGTGTTAATTAAAACTACTAGGTACAATATGATCAAGGTGAGCGACAGACTGACATTTATTTAAAATATTTCAATCTTTTGTTTTGATTTTCAAAGTATCTTCTTGGTCTAATTCAAATAAATGATATTGACTTTGAAAGGGACTAAATAGGTTTTTTAAAAGTCGACAAAGCACAGGTGTTGTAAGCGTTCATAGGCCACGGTAACCGCTCGTGGACGCACACAGCTTTTTTGCCTCCGTCATGGTACAAAAAACTAATTCAGTTCAAAATAGCAATCTAAATCTTAACTAACAATCGCAGGTTACTCACGTGAATATACTGAGAAAAACTATACTAGTAGCAAGTAGGAACACTGATGCGAGCGCCAACACTAGCCAGTCGGCTGCGCGACATCGCCGCGACCGCGCACGCTGCTCATGAGGAAGAACCCCTCTGTTGTTCGAAACTAGTAGAGCTTTTCTCAGTATATTCATGTGAGTAACTCGCGATTTTCAGTTAAACTGTCAAATACCAAGCGGTCACCGGTGACCGCAACCTATTGTTCTATAATTGTGTCTACAAAACCGGTACTCTTTTATCTTGTTTTTATTTAACTATTGACATTCTGATTGTTTAATATTGTGACATTTAAATTTTTAATCCTATGTGACCTAATAATTAATAATTCTAATGACATTAAGTAATAATAATCAATCCAAATCTTTGTTTCCAACTATTTTCTAATTTTGTATGCTGAAAAAGCCAACATAGCGTTTAAAATTGTTATTTAAGACCATAATGTTACCTATGTTCACAATTGAATAAATGAATTTGAATGAATTTGAATTTGAATTTTAACTCGACGAGTTAATTTAGTATGTCTCACGATATATATTATAAAAACAATCTAAATCTTATCCATAAAATAAGAAAAACGAACCTAAAAATCTGTTTCCCAGTCCAAAGTTGCTTAGGTTTGAGTATTGCAGGGGTTGGTATGTCGATCCTCATGTTGGCATCTGTTCCGGCCAGGAGGCACCCTGCCAGTTGCCCAACTTCATCTTTCGTGAAGAAACTATCCTTCTGGGTCATCAGGTACCCTCCGGTGATGAAGTCTTGGGTCGCAGCGATCAGCAACTCGCCGTTACGAGGTGTCACCAAGTTGGATTTATTCTGTGGATAACGATATATTGTTAAACCAGTCTTTATTAAATATGTCATCTCTTAGTCAGATTTCACGACACCCTGAAGTAATGTCGGGGTGGTGGCAAACACAGGGTGTGAACGGAACGCTACTGAAAACGCAGTAAAAAATTGGTTTTAATTTTTTTTTTATTCTCCATTGTAGCACGGAGTCTGGAATTGTGCCCGGTATATGGCAATAGGCTCACCCTTCTTACATGGGAATCATATAACATAAATGGTGAAAAGAGGTGCACATTATGCCACTGTACAACGTAACATTGTATTGTGGCATAATGTTCACCTCTGCCTACCTCCTCGGGGATAAAAGGAGTGATGTTATGTTATGTTTCGAAAATTTTAATCGATTCTGTTTTCGTGTTATTCATGCAACATCAGCCTTGAGCAGTAATCGACTGATTAGAACTATTACAAATTTACATGCACTACTTACATACATTACTAATATACACACACAACTATTATCAATATAATACTGAAGTATTATTAATTACATAAAAGAAACATTTAATTCCTTCCTTTTTTTAAATAAAACTCGTTTTTACCATCACGTATTCATTTTTTGGGAGCGTTCCGATTGCACTCTGTATATTGTAATCTGTAAAGTAATTAGATGTGCTTACCCCCATAAGTATGAGTGCCTCGGCCCTGGCCTCCTCAGTCTGCGGTAGATGCATGTTCATCTCGTCTCCATCGAAATCCGCGTTATATGGCGTACACACACACTCGTTGAACCTACACAAGTAGAAAATATAATAATTAACATATTGTTTATAAAAATATTAAGTGTAGGAGAGCCATGCTTCGGCACGAATGAGCCGGCTCGACCAGAGTGGCACTAGGGCCTCACAGAAAACTCACGTGAAACAACGCTTTCGTTGTGTTTCGTCGTGTGAGTGAAGTTAACGGAGGTCCAATTATCCCAATCTCCCCAATCCCCAATAATGCTCAAATTTCCAATCTTCAAAAGGCCGGCAACGGAAATTTTTTTAAAGAGACAAGCACGCCACTTCTTCCCAAAACTGCTGCAACTCCTGTAACCCAGGACCTACAGTAGATACAACCATGAAAACACCGGAACACTGAAGTCCGGCGCGTCCCAGGGACATGAGTAACTGTCTTGGTTCTCGCAACGAAGTGAATCAGAAGATAAGTGGAGAATAAAAAAATTATAGTTTCCACTTCCCTCGGTGAATTACTGCAGGAGACAGAGTGAATTAAGCCTGAAGGCACAAAAAGAGACTGTACAACTGGGTTAACAGCAACGGACTTGTTACTCCTCTAGTGTTGCGACTGTCCATGGGCGGCGCTAATTGCTTACCATCAGGTGATCCGCCAGTTCATTTGCCGACGAATCCCATTAAAAAGAATTTATAAGTAATATACCTGAAGGTCCTCTGTGGCTGGACCCTGGCGCGGTGACACATGATGGAGAGCTTGTGTAGCGAGGGCTGGCGGTTGAACAGTACCACGTCACCGTCCACCAGGTGGCGCTCTACCACGTCGCCACACTACAACACGTAGATAACAAATTTAGCTTTGTCCTATCCGAAAACCGACTTAAAAATGTTTTTTTTGCATTATTCTCTACTACTAGAACAACCGGATACTCTACTGCCAACAGAAAGAAAACAAAGATTGATTTCATATCATAACCAATCCAAAATCAACTTTAACACAATCAAAATAAGGTACAATTAGCTTCAAACAAAAACAGACATATAATTACGTGAGTAAGCCGAAAGTAATCATTTAAAAACAGACAAAGCCTAAATTCGAAGTAACACTCAACATTCGACTTAAACACAACAACAATAGAGTACAAATTACCTTCAACTCCTGCGCAATCTTCTCTCTATTACCATATTTAAGGTACTTCTTATGCTTCAACCCTTTTTGCTGTACATAGTTGGCTCCAGGATGCACATCAGGTCCGTTGCAGACCAGCTTCCGAAGCCATAGCAGGTTGGCAGGGAACACCCGCTCTGGGTATGTTAAAATCTTCGCCACGTGTACTGGTACTCCAACCTGGGAATGGTAAGGGATTTTGAAACTTATTTGCATAGAACGATGGTGCAAAATGTGAATCGGAGATCATTCGTACATTGATAAACTTATGAGTTTTGTAGAGCGAATGGTAAAGGAATTTAAAGCTTAATTTCAAGGTATTAGGGTTTAAAATGCAAAATGATAGATTAAATATCGATAGTCTCGCCTTTGTACCCAGAAACTTGAGTTCACAACATTTTTGTAAGTATCATTATGAATATGATTCTAAAATCATTGTGTTATTTAAAAGTTGATAGCAAAATAAAACAAAATAATAAAACTTACCTCTTGAATTTGAAGATTAGGATCAGGAGAAATGACAGTACGACTTGAGAAGTCCACTCGCTTTCCTGATAGGTTGCCACGGAAACGACCTTGTTTGCCTTTCAAACGCTGTACTAAACCACGACCTGGTTTTTTAGGCTGAAAAGAAACAAAAGAATTTTAGAAATAATTTGGACCCAAAACGTATCCTTGAGGAACACCATTGGACATGATACTAATGTTTAGGTGTATTTTAAGAATATTTGTTTGTTCACATGGAGTATTAGATAAAATTATTCAGTTGTGATTAATTATTACATTGCGTCTTGATAAAGTGTTTCAGTGATTTTTACTACAGTTAAAGTAGTCAAAGGCCTACGATAGGTCCAAGAAAACCAAAGTTGATTACACCTCATAATTTTACATGCTGTTTTCTTTGTTAATTAGCTAAATATTAACTACTAAATTACCTGCATAGACAGCGGAATGCCAGACATTTCACTGTTGATGTAAAGAGCGACGTGTAGCTGAAGGTAGTCCCAGTCCTCCTGCACGAGCTCGCTCTTGCCCCCGCTAGCTATATGTCGCGATATCACGTCGTTTATCAAGAGAATCTCTGACTGTTTCATTGTTAGGTCGTCTTCATTCCTGTAAGATTATGTCGTGTTGGATTCTGTTCATTTTAGTAACTTATCAACCCTATATTGATAAAATCAGTGAAAGTTAACTATGGAATTACGTTTTCAAATGTTGTTTTATGCAATCTTAATTAAATTAGGCGGACGCTAATCGTCCGGTTGATGTCAGAAATAACAAATTATATATAAGAGCAAGTAACCTACATAATTAGTAAGAAAGTTTTAAAGTTTGATTCAAGTTTAAAACAAAACAATATACGTATAGTACAAAACTTCGATGCACCTACATAAAATTTATCATAATGATAGGACGATTTTTATTTAAGGGGGGAAAATCATCCAATGACTTCTCCCGCCTGGGTGAGGCGGGAGCGAGTGTCAGACTCTTACTGACTAAGAACCACCCCGTTCCTACTACTGCACTTTGAGCCGGAGCCCTGGCAACCCGTTAATTCCTCCGCGGCTAACGACGATAAATTCTAATAGTTACTTTGTTTATACTGGATTTGATATGGTCAGCACAATAATGACTTACGTTCCAGCCTTGATATCAGAAACAACGCTTGGTCGGATACACAGCGGTGGCACGGGCAGGCGAGTCAGGATCAGGTGCTCTGGCCGCGTCAGGTGCGGGTTCATACCCAGCAGAGGAATGTCATCGTCCGGGATGCGACAGAATATTTCCATTACCTGGGGTTAAAATGGGTTATTGAATACAGGTTATTAAGTCGACGGATATAAAGACTCGAATCGTGTGTCAGTTGCTTTTTCGAAACTGTTAGTTCTATATTTCACCGGGATATG